TAAAAAATTAAAGCACATACACACATTCAGCATCTTAGTTATTTTAATTCATTTTTTTTTCATATTTAATTTATTCATGTAAAAATAAATAAATTAGTAAATTTAATTATAAAATATGATAAATAATTTTATATTATAAATTTTTATACAGTAAATTCCCTGTGATTAATGCCATTTTTTTACATTCATTAGGGACTATTATATACAGTTTATTGATCAATCAACAAAAATGACATTTATTGATTTACTGCTTATGGATCTTTAAAGAGAAAATTTAAAGTTTTATAAAACTGTTTTATCTCTCAATTTTTTTTTTAAATTTATTCTTCTCTACCTCATCAATTAAAAATATCGTAAAAATTCATCCTTCGATCTTTCAACCATCGATTTTACTTGCTTAAATGATGTTAAGAAAAAGAAATTTTTAATTAATTACGTATACACATTTTAAACAGTAAAGTTAAAAGTAGAAATAAATACCGTATCCGATACAGTAATAATTTAATTATAATTAAATGTAAAATCAAATAAATTTTGTAATTAGAAAGTATCAATTTAATTGAAATTTATAAATGAGAAAATTAAATAATTAAATATTTCTAAGTGTTGTTAATTAATTTGAAATTATAACCATCAATCTTGTGTGAATTTTTATTGCTATAATGTTTGCAATTAATTCATTCTAAAATGTAATTTTTTTTAAATTATTTATTTTAAATAGTTTCCCCCCTTCTTATATTTTTTTTTTGGTAAATAAATTCAAGATTCTACTAAAATCTTCACTTTTCTAAAGGTTCCTTATTGATTCTCTTGAATATGAATGAAGCAGTAAGTCATAGGGGACTTCTAAAAAATTTTATATATATATTTTTTTTTACTTTTATACAACTTTCTTTCCATTCTTCTTTTACTGTAAGATTTTATATTCACGCTCATATTGCTTGCCTTTCTCACTTAAGTTAGTTTTTCAATTTTGTACTAGTGAATGGAAGGTCGCAATTGTTAAGATTACTTTTTAAAAAAAAATCGTAAATTTCACTTGATAAATTAAAGTTTAAATATTTAAAACGGTTTATATTAAGTAAAATTTCACTAAAACGTTAATACATTTCTTTTTTCTTTAATGTTTTTTTTTTAAAGTTTGAACGTTTACTTATGGAGGAATTTTATAAAATTACATAAAAATAATCAAAATAATTAAATAATATCTGATTTTTTTAAACTTAAAACTGTTTATATTACGTAAATACTTTTAAAATTTTGACATTTCTTCAATATTTTGTATGTTGCAAAGCGTACAAACGTTTCAAGTACGACACTTTTTATGAAGGAATTTACAAATATATAAGTTATTTTTACTTTATAAGTAAATAATCGATTAAAATGTTTAAAAGATAACATTTTTAATTCAAAAAAGTTAATTTAAAACTGACTAAAAATTAACCCAAATAAACTAGATTTTAGCTTTAGTTGAGTATACATATATACAATTTTCTTTGGAAATTATGTTATTTTCTTTAATGTTAAAGCAGTAATGTATTTTTCAGTCGTCAACTCTATAATTTTATATATGACATTGGAGTCTAAATGTTGTCTAGTAAGTTGTTTGTAACGAATTAAAAAGTAACTCGTGGAATTCTTTGCTAACACTTTTACGCTCCTGTGCACAGTAGGATCAAAGAGAAAACGTTTCTTTGACATAAATTACTTTGCTGAAGATTTATGGTGGGAGAACATGTTTCTAAATAGACATTCGTTCAACGTATGCTTGGGAATTTAGTCTTTGTAGGTTGGACGTCAGCCAACCTTAAAACAGCTTTCATGGATAATGCATTTGTTTCTTTTTTCTTTATTTAACTCGAAGTAGTAGTAATGGAGAAAAAGCAACAAGTGTGTATAATGCCCATTCTATTATATCGAGCGTAAAAATATGGCGACAAATTTCGATTTTAAATATACAGGTTAAGCTTTAAGATAATTATAATTAACGATAGAAAAACAAACACGTCAAACAAAAAAAAATAATAATAATATTATTGTTACAATAGTATTTCACGCTCGATTATATACTTTTTCAGTTCATTTCACTGTAAAATATGGTAAAAGATCGTATTTTATAGTTGAGTTAATGCATATACCGTAGGATATTACATTATTATATACCGAAAACACAAAATATATAGCAAAAATATTTAAAATAAAATAAAAACAGGGGAAAAAATGATCTACTTACCAGGACATATACCGCAAAAGGCATGACAACAGCTGATACTAATAGATCTGCAAATGCTAAGCTGACAATGAAATAGTTTGTTGCTGATTGTAAACTCCTTTCCTTGAAAACACTTAAGATGACCAAAATGTTACCAAACACAGCTAAGAATGGTAATAATATAAGTAAAAGTGCCCAATAGATTTTTTCGGTACTATCTTGATACACCGATTCATCCTGAGTGACGTTACTTGTTACGTTTTCACATAACCAGTTGGAAACGTTATCAGTTGCGCATGGTAATACGCTGGAAGTTTCATTATTTGTAAAAATATCATCATCTATTATAGTGGACCACGAACTTTCATTATTGAGCCATTCACTTTTCCATTCAGTGCGGTTTATATATTCTTCCATGATTCAAAAATATATACATACATATATCTTTTTATATATATATATTCAAGTTATTAACATTATTAAACATCCTGATATAAAGATTTAACTTTAAAAAATAATTAACACGTGGAATTTTTTATTTAATTTTTCTTTTTTTTACTACGATAGAGCCACGTAGACGAAATTTTGCGTCACAATTCGTATCCCATTCAGAGAAGAAGCGTGTTAAGTAAATGGAAGAAACTGGAGAATATTCTGAAACGAATATATAAAAATTATTTTAAAAAATGTATTTTAATATATTAAAAATTTTTAAAGTAAATAAATTTGAGAATAAAATAAATAAATAAATAAATATTTGAGAAGAAGGAAATTTCTATCATTAGCCTTTAAGTCGCGAATGTAACGTAAATGTTGATAAGAGTGACGACATAATGGCAAGATCTTCTGGAATTCTTTAAAATGAAGTGTCTTTACTACGCTTCGGGCAATCTAGAAGCTGTTAGAACTATGGCAAAGTAGTTTATTGTGAATTGCAATGCGGTTAGTTGCTTATGAAGGCAATTTCAAAATACTGGAAATGTCATTGAGAAACCTTTAAAAAAAAGTTGATAAAGAATCGACATCACTAACAAAATCGATATAATATAGCAATATTTTTCTGAAAACTTTATTAAAATATAAAAAGAAAACTCTCTTCATCTTAAGATGTTTATATATTTCAAGTTAAGATTGTTTGAAGAACAATAAATTTCTTCTACGGTAGCTCTGAACGATTGTATCTTAAAGCATAAAAAAATTATAGTTTTTTTTAGTAGAAAATCTTTTTACTGAACGAATATTCCATAAAAAAGAGTTATTTTTAAGATAAAGAAATTTAGATTTTGCATACCCAATTTCAAAACTTTTTACTTTTCTTAGACAATAAAATAGCTTACTAGTTGCTCGTTTAGGGGGTTACTCGGCTTCTACAAGCTCTAAAATAGTAAAAATCTTTCAAATTCTTTACATACTTTACAATTTATTTGCTTCCTAAACGAATTAATTAGAAATTATAATAGAAATTATACTAGAAAACATTAAAAATTAAGTTCGTGTAAGACACGTTACCAAAGGGGTATTACCCTGCTAGATAGTGGCATTTGTTTAACGTAAAATAAATGAAAATTGTTTAAAAAAAACACAAAAGATATTACTTCAATTACAGAATACCTTGAATAAAAACAAATTTACTTAATACTATATTGGAATGCTTACAAGACAAGGGAGGAGTAGATGAACATGTCATAAGATAAATTTTAATATAGCTATCTTGTTAATATGGGGAAGTGAGATATTCACGTTTTTTTTTAAATGTTTTCGACAATTCTTTTGTATTTATTGTTAAAATTTAATAATTTAATCAGTTTTCTTCATGAATACTCGCTTATAATTATGTAAATTTTAATATAGAAATGAAAATTTCCGAAAGAAATTACTTCCATTGGCATGAAATTCCTCCAATAAAATTCTTAGAGTTATATATACACAACGGAATTATATTCGTGTAAAATTTCAGAAAATTGAGTATTATATAAAATAAACAGTGTGTCTTGTTTTTAATAAAAAGACAGAAGGTGACATTGTTTACACTATTATATTTCATAGAGTAGCCTTTCGATAAGTTCGAGTTAAACCAAGATAATTTTAGATCTTTGTAGTGTTTGGCAAAGGCATGTCACAACCAGGCAACAATATAGGGGAAAAGGCTGTATCAAATCCAATAAAGGAGAAAATAACCGATCAATCACCTTAGAAACGTCAGTGTGAGTGGAAACACTTTCTGAACTGCAGAATACTTTTATTCACTTTGTCTGTCATTGCCTGTATTGGCTTTGTTTGAAATATGTTCTTATGATATTGCTAGATCCCTACTTTTTTTCCCCTTCTTTCCATACGAACCTAACATGAAATCTATTTACATACTCTGATATATTGCACCTGATACCTGTTCAAAACAACTAAATCACACAGAAATGCTCATAAATATTATACATTTCTTATACAACCGAATCGTCAAGCGTTGATAACTCACGTAAACAATTTAATTAGAAAATAAAACAAAGAATTTATACAAGTAAGTGCACATTTAACTGGTTAAAAAATATTGTTTTACGCATAAAAATTATATTTTTTAAATTTTAATTAAATATTATTATTATTAAAAAGTTTATAAATTGGTAATTTTCATCATTAAAAAAAATTTTTTTAAATTTATTTTAGAATTCTGATTTATTTTATCAATTAAATAATTATCTGTTGTTATATTTAAGTGTGTTTAACACAGTCCATTAAGAGTCGCAATTAAGCATGATAAGTTCCATTATCAGAATGGAGAAAGAAATAACGGATCTATTCTTTTGTTAATTGTCTCCTTTTTTTTCTGTAGTAAATAGCCTTTTTTACTACAGAAAAAAAACATCTATTTTTGGATTTTTTGATAAATTTTCTATCATTTTATCGTTACTTAATTATTTTCTGCAATTTTTTAAACCATCTCCTACAAGATTTATTCACTTAAAAACACGCTAAACATACGTAAACTCGTTAAATCGAATCTCGTGAAGGCAATTATTTTTCGGTTTATTCAGAAACGAATTAAACTTTTGTTTTATTCCTTTAATTCTAATTAAAATTAATTTTTATTGCCGAATAATAATTCATTAAAATTATCATTTAATTGCCATTAAGAAACGAATTCCTTAATGTTACATCAATTACATTTATGATAAAAATACGTTATATAAGTACACTAATTATATTTTTTAAAAAAATCCCTGTACATAGGAGCTGATTAACTTTAAAAATTCGCATGATAAAATAATTTATCCATTTATTATTCGATTTATTTTCGTTCAGTACATATCATTAATGACTTTATTTTAATTTACTGGTGCTTAATGAAGTTCACAAATTGATTTACTTGAAATATTCGTCTCGAAAATATACGAAAACAGTCATTTATTTATATTCAAACACCAAATCGTTTAACCCCGAAATTAACGAGATAAATACTATTTTTTATTTTTTTAAAAGGTATAATTGACTACATTGTTTCGTATTTTACGATTTAATGAAGTTTAAAGTTTGTTCTGAAGTAATTTATTTATACAATAGACAAATATATATATATATATATGTATGTACAGTACGTATGTGTGTGAATGGAGTTATNTATATATATATATATATATACTATAACAATTTAAAGATTTAAAGAAAATAAACCTAGGATGGCCCATAAGTCGGTTAACCACTGTAAACATTAAATCGCTATCTTATCCAAATATTTAATTATGTTTCCGTTAATTTTATCACAGAATCAGTTTACGATTCGTTTTCTAAAGTATAAATCCGTGCACGCGAAATTAAATACGGTTAACTGACTTTCGGACACTTATAATAGAATTTATTATTATTGCGGTTATGTTTATTTTCTATAGATCTAAAAATTACATTATATATATATATATATATATATATATGGATGCTCAAAAGTCAGTTAACTACATTAACAGAGTGTTGAGATTTACAGAAAATAAACTTAACAAATTATGTATAAGGGATGGCTTAAAAATCAGTTAACCGAATTTTGTTTTGTAATGTTTTAGATAGAATTGGAAATGTGAAAAGCTGCTTTCATAACAAAATTAATGAAAAAAACAATTTAAAATGTGATTAAATATTTGAATAAGAAGGAAATTTAGTCATTACAGTGGTTAACTGACATCTGGGCCACCCTGTATACTTTTATATAATTTTTCTTTTTTCGCTTTTAAAATAATTATTTTGTTATAAAACTTTGGATAATGTTTTGTAATATATAATTATTATTAAATAAATATTAAAACACTAACTAAATTTAATCACTTCTCATTATTTATTATTTCAAGGAATTCAATTATTGAGGTAAGAAAAAAAAAATTACTCGAATTTTTAATGAGCTTTAAAAAGTATTTTTACAGTTAAATAATTAATAAAATTACTTATTTTATTAAATTAAAACATTTATTATTTTAAAAAATTCATTAATTTGAATTATTATATTAAAAAATTAATTCATAAATTAAAAATAATATTAGATAGAAATCAAAATTAATGATAATAACTGAAAATGCTAATAAATTAAGAATTTTAAATAAAATTGTAATGAAAAGAATTTTCTTTTTTTTTTAATTCTTAAATGTTTCTAATTATTTTTGGCAGATTATTTCCTTTTTATTTTTTTCTGTGAATATTTTGTTACCTTCTAAAAATTGCAAGTTATTTAAATGTCAAAAAGTGATAAATTCAATTTTCATATTTTATATTACTTGCTTTGAAGCTTCTGTAGGGATTTATATAATAAATCAACTAAACTTGATAATAATAAAAATACTTGATTTGATTTTTCTCTTCTCTCTCCCCTTATCTATTCTTTATGCATGATTTCCTTTTATCATCATCACGTTTCTCATTATATTATCAATCAATATATAATATTGTTAATTTATCTCGAATAATCATTATCCATCTTGTTATTATCTCGAAAAATGTTCTCCCCTCCCCCCAAAAAATATAGTAAAAAAATTATTGTAAAATTTTACATTTGGCAATGGCTTAAATAATGATGAATAATTTACTTGATTTTTATGGCTAATTTGCTTTTAACATGTAATTTTTATGTTATATATAAAATATACATCTTTGTAATTTTAATTTTTATAAAAAAATTTTATTTTTTAATACAAAAAAAAACAATAATTTACGTCTTAAAAAGGTGATTAATTACGAATTTTAAGTTACTTCTTTCTCTTCTCTGTCGCGTAGATAATACTAATAATTAATGGATAACTTACCTATAACATGCGATTTTTATATCATATATATACTTAATATAAAAGATTATAATTTTTATACAAAATTTTCTGTCTTTCTTTAAATAAAAAATAAAAATTTTCATCTTAAAAACAGACTAATCAATCAAAATAATTTCTTCCTTCTCTTACTCCTCTAGTATATATATGTATATATATATACGTTAAAATTAAACATTACAACATAAAGTTGTAATTTTTAATTAAAAAATTGCTATATTTTTTGCTAAAAATAGCAAAAAAATTATTGCCTAAAACAGATTAATGAATGAAAAAGTTTATGTTCTATTTTTTCCTCATCCTCCTGTCTTTTAGATAATATTAATATTGAAAAGTAGTAGAACTTTATGACAAATTTTA